TAGCAGGCCTCCTCTGACATTACTCTGGTGGGGGGAAAGGGGGCACTCTCTTGTTACTGCCAGGTGTGGGTGGAAGTCCAGGTTTCCCACTCAATCTTGGTTGACAATGAGTGTAATGTCTGTTATTGCTTTGTGGGGATGGGAGTTCTGGCTCTCTGCTAGGCCTAGATTGAGGCCTCCATTCACCCTAGCTGGGCGCTGTAGGAGTCCCTCATTATTGCTCCCTACATTGCTTCCCCTCCACTGATACAATGCGGGGTGGTAGTATACCACTGGGCAGTGATGAAAGTTTTGATGACTCTGACATTAATTCAGCAGGGAGGGGTACTGACCCCTCATAACTGCTGGGTGGAAGTCCAGGCTGCCTACTGCAGTTGTGTGTGTGTGTTGGGGGGCGGGGGTGGGATGTGAGGTGCCTCATTACAGCCTGGTGAAGGTAGGAGTCCAGGCATCTCCTAGCAGTCCTAGCTATATTCTGACAACTGAAGTTTTCATAATAACTGAAAGTCCATTTATACTTGGCTCCCTGTCTCTGCTCAAACGTAACCCTATATTTATTTCTGTCATTTTTGTGTTCTGGCTTCAGTTGGGTAGTCTCTATGACAATGGTAAGTAAGTATGGGAAGAACTGGTAAATTTTTTTGAACCTATTTTTGATTATGACATTTATGTATAGTTCTGTTGATAAGATTAGATAAACTATGACTCTGTTATGTGAGTTTTTATTATTTGTAAAGGTTATATGGCACTGACATTATAAACACACTAGATATTCCTAAGTGCTTCAGGTTAAATATTACGTTGTTTAAAAGAAAGTCACATTATTTTCCTATAACTTAAATGGGTTCCTCCTCTAATTAGTTGATGGTACTTACATAAATATTAACATAATACTGCTACAAATTATGTACTTAGTCTGTAATCTGACTTAGCTAGATTTTATATAATTTTATAATATTGATTTATCTATACATATATTAGTCGTATTAATTTGCTAAATTCAGATTAAACTTTCCCCAGCTCCTGGTGTATTTACAATTATGAAAAAGAATCAGTACTAAATGATATAAGGATGAATTTTTTTTTTTTTTTTTTTTTGAGATGGAGTCTTGCTCCGTTGCCCAGGCTGGAGTACAATGGTGTGATCTTGGCTCACTGCAACCTATGCTTCCCATGTTCAAGTGATTCTCCTGCGTCAGCCTCCCAAGTAGCTGGGATTACAGGCATGTACCACCACGCTTGGCTAATTTTTGTATTTTTAGTAGAGATGGGGTTTCACCATGTTGGCCAGGCTGGTCTGGAGCTAGTGACTTCAGGTGATCTGCTCACCTCGGCCTCCCAAAGTGCTGGGGTTATAGGCGTGAGCCACCGTGCCTGGCTTATAAGGCCGAAGTTTAGAATAAATGAGAGATGTAGCAATACCGGGGTTATATGCCTCAATTATAAAGTACTTAGGACTGCTTATGTGTTGGGCTTATAGTGAGGTTGTGGAGGGATAAGGAGGAAGTGATGGGTAGAGTAATAATAAATTTAGAACCCAGATTGTGAAGGCAAGAGAAAATTTTGGAAATTCCAGCCTTCCTATTTTATTGAGGTTTTTGAATCTATATTATGTGTCTGGCACTTTACCTACCTTATGGCATCTAAAATAATGTTATAAAGTGGCTGTATTTTCTCTTTTTCAGAGATGAGAGAACTGAAGCTCAAATTAGACTAAGTTGTTCAAGTCTGCCTAGCTATCAAGTGGTAGAGGTAGGATCTGAACCTAGATCTGTATGATTCTATGATTCATGCTCCTTTGGCTGCACTACTCTGCCTTCCAGTGGGGTTTTCAGATTCACTTTTCATGGAAATTTATTATAAAATCATTTATTGTATGTCCCTATTTCTCTCTCCAGTTAAACATCTAAACCTTATAGGCTCCATATCTATTTTACATACATTTGACAGATAACACACTATGTAACATGTGTATGATGCAAGGACTTATGTTACCATATGAAATTTGTCCCATGCTTGATGATGGAGGATAGATCTTTGCAGTTGAAATAGACATAGAGCACTGGCCTAGAGGACAGGTAACTTTCTCAAGGTCACACAGCCTGTGTAGAGCAAGGATTCGAATCCAGGTCTGCCTCACTCCAACTCCCACCCATTGCATCCACTCCTGGCTGTTCTGCTATTACATAGTAATAGCGGAAAGAAAGGTGTTGAGGAGTGGAGGGTGGGTAGCCTTTTTTTTTTTTTTTTTTGAGACGGAATCTCGCACTGTCACCCAGGCTGGAGTGCAGTGGTGTCTCGCTCTGGCACCCACGCTGGAGTGCAGTGGTGCGATCTCGGCTCACTGCAAACGCCACCTCCCGGGTTCGCGCCATTCTCCTGCCTCAGCCTCCCGAGTAGCTGGGACTGCAGGCGACCGCCACCATGTCCGGCTAATTTTTTGTATTTTTAGTAGAGATGGGGTTTCACTGTGTTAGCCAGTATGGTCTCCATCTCCTAACCTCGTGATCCGCCTTGGCCTTCCAAAGTGCTGGGATTACAGGAGTGAGTCACTGCGCCCGGCCCCCTTTTTTTTGAGACGGAGTCTCACTGTCGCCCAGGCTGGAGTGCAGTGGCACAATCTCAGCTCACTGCAAGCTCCGCCTCCCGGGTTCACACCATTCTCCTGCCCCAGACTCCCGATTAACTGGGACTACGGGCGCCCACCACCAGGGCCTGCTAATTGTTTGTATTTTTAGTGGAGACAGGGTTTCACTGTGTTAGCCAGGATGGTCTCGATCTCCTGACCTCGTGATCCACCCGCCTCGGCTTCCCAAAGCGCTGCTGGGATTACAGGTGTGAGCCACCACGCTCGGCTGCTTTTTTTTTTTTCTGAGATGGGGTCTCACTCTGTCCCCAGGCTAGAGTACAGTGGCACAATCACGGCTCATTGCAACCTCCACCTCCCGAGTTCAAGCGATTCTTCTGCCTCAGCCTCCCAAGTAACTGGGACTACAGGCGTGTGCCACCTCGGCTGATTTTGTTTTTTGTATTTTTAGTAGGGATGGGGTTTCACCATATTGGCCAGGCTGCCCTCGAACTCCTGACCTCATGATCCACCTGCCTCGGCCTCCCAAAGTGCTGGGATTACAGGCGTGAGCCACCGAGCCCGGCCGGGATTGGGTAACTTTATAATTCTTGAAAAGGACCTGAGTCCGGAACTGCCAACTTCAGGGAGATAGTCAAATACCAGCAAAATGTCTATCTGTGTTTGTGCAAGTGTGTGTGTTTGTGTGTGTGTGTGTGTATGAGAGAGTGTGCGAGCGAATTAGTGGGGTCAAAATTTCCTTGGCTTTGAATGTCACCATTTGCGACCAAGTTAACAATGTATTAATTTAGACGTAGAAAAGATTTGGCCCTTTGTACACACTCATTCAAGCAAAATGGAGCATCATAAAGGGAAAGGTGTTTCAGAGGAAGTAATTAAACATGAACTATAATCTATACAAAACTACAGTTTGTTCGTCTAGTTACTAGTCTCAGGGGAACAATTTAAAACTGTGCAAAATCAGTTGGGATTCCCATAGCTTCCCGCTGAATACTGGTAGGAATTACTGGGTCAGCACTGAATTGTCTTTGTCATATTTTGAAATCCAAGTTTAAATTTATCATTTTTATTGGTTACAGGTGGAAAACCTATTGAAAATATACAAAACTCCGTTTATAAAGAGAATCGTCTTTACGTGTCCATTAATTTTTTCCTATCCCTGTTATGACATACAGCTTAGTAAATAAATTTGCCTTTTGAGAAGAGTAGTCGAAAGGCCTGTTCTCTTTTTTTTTTTCCACTTATACTAAAGATTAAAAGCCAGACTACAGCCTTTCCCCTGCACCTGAGAGACAGAACAAAGTGTTACTGTTGTCTAGGGGTTACAAACCTGCAGGTTTTGGGGGATAGAAAGGCTTTCCTGGGCCACCAGCTGTGATGAGGATTTAATTATGTCTTCTCTCAGGTCTGTCCACAAGCAGTCCCTACTTTTGTAAGAAGGCTCCACTGAAATCACGGCAATAGAACCCAACATTCTGCAGATCCCGCTTAACAATTTCTCATTGCTTTTTCTTGTAAGACTGTAATGAACTACTGATAAGACACAGGGTAAACACAGCACGAAAATCTGGCCCCAAAGTGCCGCCAACAGACAGACCTTTGGCGGTGGGGAGCCACGGTCGGCAAGCCAGGCCCCGCGGGCGACTCTTCATTCCCTCCGGCCTGGGGCGTATGGGCGGGGGTCAGGGGAGCCTTTCCCCCTTCACTTTCGGCGCGGGTGAGGTGGTCGGGGCTGCCAGCGCAGGTCTGGCCTAGGGCGGCACCCGGACCGCGGGACACCGGGCCGGCAGCCGCTCCCCAAGCGCACTCCTCGCGGAGGCCATTATTTCCAGCAGTGCCAAAGTCTGAGCCTTCTTCGGAGGGCAGAGGTCGAGGGCCGTGTACCGCCTCCCGGCTACGCGACCAGTACCAGGCCCTGTGGGGTCCCGGGACCCCTGGAGCGCGCGCGGGACGGCCGGAGCCGCGGTCTAGGCACATCCCAGAGCTCCCAGGCAGGCAAAGGCCGTCCTTGGCATCTTCGCCCGCCGCGGGCGCTGCCGGACCTCGCCCTTCCCCACCACTCCCCTCCCCCTCCAAAGCCCGCTGTGGTTCCCGAGGTGACACGGCCCGGACCCTCCATTCTCTGCCCCAGTGTATTTAACCAGCACAACCTAACAGGAAGCTCCCTCTCGGTGACAACCCTTCCCCCGACAGACGCGCCCAGCAGCCAACCACCGGCCAGAATTGGCCTGCGTCCCGCTCCCCTCTCGGTGGCGGCCTCGGTGGGCGGGGCTCGGGCAGCTAGCAAGTTAAGTGGAGCCACGGCTGACGTGAGTCAACAAAGGTCACGTGAGTCGTGCGGGCCGCGCCGATTGGTGGCGCCAGTCGGGCGGGGAGGGGGGGGTCACGGCGGCGGCGTGGGGTTCGCTGTGTGACACAATTACAACAACTTTGTGCTGGTGCCGGGGAAGTTTGTGTCTCCAACGAATCCCCCCAGTGCTCCCCAGCCCTGCGCGCTCCGGCCGTTCCCGCCGTCCCCGCCCGTGGCTGCCCCTTGCCCAACCCCGCGATGTGACCCTACAGCCGAAAGCCGCCGCTGCCGACCCGGGGGCTTCGCAGCCCCTGCCGCCGCCGCCTTCACCGCCGCCGCGTTGGGATTTTTCGTCGCCGCCGCCCGCGGCGGAGGAGGAGGCGGCGATAAAGTTGGTGTGCTGGTCCCGCGCGCAGATTGGGGGCGTCATTGCGGGCCCCGGTCCGAGGGGGGGTGTCGGCGTTGGAGTTGTGAATTCGCTGCGTTTCCATGAAATCCTGCGGAGTGTCGCTCGCTACCGCCGCCGCTGCCGCCGCCGCTTTCGGTGATGAGGAAAAGAAAATGGCGGCGGGAAAAGCGAGCGGCGAGAGCGAGGAGGCGTCCCCCAGCCTGACAGCCGAGGAGAGGGAGGCGCTCGGCGGACTGGACAGGTACGGGCCGCCGTCACTCGCCCGGTCGGCTCCGGACGGGCAGTAGCCGCTCTCCCGGGAGGCCCGAGCGCGGCTTGTCTCTGGCGGCGGCGGGGCGGGCACCTGGGTTTGGCGCTCTTCGCGCCGCCTCCGCCGGGGCCTCGGGCTCGGGCAGGGACGGGTCGGTGGCGTTCCCGGAGCGTTAACGAGTAGCCTGTGTCTCTCCCCACAGCCGCCTCTTCGGGTTCGTGAGGTTTCATGAAGATGGCGCCAGGACGAAGGCCCTACTGGGCAAGGTAAGGCAGCTGCGAGTCGGAGCGCGGACACCGTCTCCCCGGCCGGCGCCGCGCTCGCCCCGGGCCCCGCGGCCGGGTCTGCGCTCATTGTGGCCGCGGACGATGGTCGAGGGGCTTCCGGAAAACTATTTCCTGCCTCTCCTCTCCCCTCACCCACGGGTACCCAGCTTGCTCCCTTGCTAAATTGCTCTTTTCCTCTTGTAGCTGGAGGAACAGAGACGGGATCGCTTTGGGGCCGGGCTCAACTGGGTCGACAAAACTGCCTGCTATTTTACAGCTTTTTGGGGATAGGCCGATGATCTTCGAGGTGCATGTTTAGGGTCAAGGGATCGTGAATGTGTTCAGATTTCCCCCAGTTCCGGACTTCACTTGCCTCTCACGGGTTTAAAAAAATTCTTTTCCTTCAAGCAGGCTGTTCGTGATGCCTACTGCTAACCAAATGTTTTAGGCTTTCTTGTGTCCCCGCTCCCAGAAGGGGGAAGTTTCACGGAGTTTAGGTCGGTGAAGAGTTTGCATTGGGCTGTTGACATGTATCTCGATCGCAATGTGTGTTACCTGAAGTTAGGTGACTTGTTTACTTTTTGGGTCTTTTTGGCATAGAAATACCGTAGTTATTTGTAAATGTGTTCTCTTCCTGGAGCCTCATTTCCTGCGTGTCTGACAGGGGAGACTGGGGAGGATTCGGGGTGTAGTCTCTGTTTATTTGTGTGGAAAGTTGTTGGCACTGTCATTTAGTTAAGTAATGGCTGCTCCTATCGGCCCAAGATGGCGGGACAGGGTGGGAGGAGAAAGTGAAGGGGGGGGTTTGGGGGAGGGAGTAGAGGTAAACATGGAAATAAATAGTAGCCGTGAATAAGCCTTTCCTTCGGAGTGTGTAGCTCAGTGGTGTTTAAAAAAAAATTACCCAAGATTATTTGCATATAGAATTCTTGTACCTTTCACAAGCTTGGAAGCAGCATGCATAAGCCTGGTAAATGCTTATCAACCTGTAGCACATTTAGTTACCCATCCTTAAGCTATTGAACAAAGGCTGGAGTCTCAGTCTCTAGGCATCAATTTATATTTCCTGACCAAAATCTGATTGCAATGATATTTGAATACTTTCTTCGTAATTGGGACCGTGAAAGTTGGAGTGTGTGCTATGGGTGTTGCATCCGTTAGACATTTTCTTTTCTAGCTGAAATCATAGCTTTGCATTTGACACCTAGCTTTATTGTTACAGTTGAGACGGAAGTTTGAAGTAAGTCCAACATTTTATTCTTAAGTTGATTTTTTTGTTGTTCTGAATTTTTGTCTGTAGCTTGGTTTAGCAGAGTCATCAATTCTTTTTTATCTGTAATTACAAATTTGTTTTTATTTCCAAGTAATTATAAGGAGTTTTATTGCATATAACGATCAGAAAACTAAATGGAAATAATGCTTTTCAGTAAGCCCGGCCCCTTTGACCGATACAGAAAACTTGAATTAAACTTTGACTACATAGGTATTAATTGGCTTCATTGCAATTATTGTTGTAAAAATGAACAGTGACTAGCTCTGGAAAGATTTAAGCGTCAGTAATTGTTGGTCTCCTGCCTTAAAAGTTTTTTTTCCCAATTTGAGTATTTAAAGTATTTTATTTAAAAATATTTGACTGCTGTCAAAGTTGTCATTACAAAAGATTAAACATGATTTAAATTCAAAGAGCATTATTTTGTTTTGGAGGGATTATTGCTGGTCTAACATGGATTGATAAAATTGCTTGCAAAGATAATTCACTTGGAAAAGTTTGGCCAAATCGATTGCTTTTGCTTATGGTGATGAAAAAATAAATGGAATCCGATGTTTTATGTTGAGAATGTGTAAAATGCTAGTTGATTTTATGTCTTAGAATGCTCATATTCAGATAGATTCACGGTGAATAGTGCTTAACATTGGATTTCAGATTGTAATATTAAACTCTGCAGTTATTATGCACTAACGAGTTTAAATTTTAAAAAATTAACCATTTTCAAATATTTTTGGCAAGTTGTGCATTACTTGATGTTTGAATGCATGCTAAAAAAGAAAAACTAGTGAAGCTTCACTGTGTTTGGGGCTTTCATGATATATGGGGTGATTTGATGAATGATTAAGTAGTTTGTTAAACTAAAGAAAAAAAAATCTTCATTGCTTCAGACTCAGTGCTTGTGAGGTCCTACCTGCTTAGGACAAGATTCATCAGCCTTAACATTAAAATAAAACATTCTCTGATATGTGCTTGCAACCGCATATAGTTCTTGATTGCATCTTTGTGAGTCTGAACATACCAGTGGGGTGTGTAATGTAAAGCTTGACATTATATAACTTCGCACCCTCTGTTTGAATTGGATTCTGAATGAAGTGAATGAGCTTGAGTCCTGCTATAGGAAGTATTGAATTATTTAGTTTCATCCTTCTTTTAACAGTCCTCGAAGCAGTATTTTTTTGTGGAATGTTGAGCTATGTTGGTTTCACAATTCTTATTCTCTGAAAGTCTTAAGAGGTGGTTTTTCTTTACTGGGCAGGTTTAGGCTACTTTCCTGAGGGCAGATAATGGAATTGAATAACTCCCAGAATTACCTTTTTAGCTTTGATTTTTGTCCTGCCATGCCCCCCCCCCGCCGCCCCCGCCCCAATTTAGTCTGCATTTTGTATAACTTTTTTCCTTTCTGGCAGAAATTTAGCTATTACTACTTGTTTTCAAAAATTCTTGTTCCTATGTATATTATTGGATTTTCTTTCAAGTTTTTAAAATTCACGTTTGTATGTTAAAAAAACTGTTGACCTAAAAGCTTTAGAAAGTTGAAAGCATTAAATATGAGTCTCTTACTTGCCCCTTAACATATATACGTATATATACACAAATTACGTATGTATATGTATATGCGTATACACATATGTATGTGAATATGTATATACATATGTGTATACGCATATACGTATATACACCTGCACACATATGTGTACACACGTACATACATATATACACATACATATGTGTACATACGCATATACGTATATACACCTGCACACATATGTGTACACACGTACATACATATATACACATACATATGTGTACATACGCATATACGTATATACACATGCATGCATATGTGATATGCATATACACATACACACATGCATACATATATAATATATACATATGTAATACATGTATGTATAGTATGCACTTGTACATACGTGCATATGTAGATATGTAGATGTGTACACATGCACATGTATATACATATACATATCTACATATGCACGTATTTATATTGTATGTATATGTGTATGTGTATATGTATGCGTATGTATATATTTATACATGTGCTTTGATACATTCATGTATATATGTATATATGTATACACATGTGTATGTATAGATATATATATACATATACGTATATGTATGCGTTTGTACATATGTGTACGTATGCATATGTGTACGTATGTACATATGTATTTGTGTATTCCTTTTTCCAGGTGTGCAGATAGTTTATCCAGACCACTGATTTCTCATCGTCTCCCAAATGTGTGTGTCAGATTCAGTTATATTAGAGTCATTAAAATAATTTTTTGTTTGTAGGATGGCCATTTGATATACAATGCCTGGGGTTTTGGATTAAAAAATAAAGTAGTTAATATTATTATTTTTTGGTAATGTTTTTAAGGTTGTGAACAGCTAGAGCCTGCGTAATTAGAGTTCTTGTAATATAGCGTGATCTTGAACAGTTTGCTCTTGAATGCTGACCCTTAATCTTCTGGTAATGTAATAATTCAAGATTCTTTTTAAAATTTCAGTGGAGTTATTGAAAAGTAAGCAAAATATTTTAACATAAATTAACTTGTGACTTTTTTAGTACAGTTTTGAAAACCTTTTGGGTTAATTTTTTTTTTTTAAGTAGGGTAAGGATTTGAGTTAGAGTATATAGGAATATATACCATAAATGTAGTAAGTTTAAATATAGTAGTACTATCAAGTATAGTTATAGTAATAATGCTTGGGGACTGGGGAATCTTATCTGTGTCAGGGAACTATTGCTAAAATACTTACACAGTTTTGACCAAAGTATCTTATTTTTAAATTTTTCTTAAATACTCTTACTGGAACTTTTTTTGGTAATTCTGTTAGTAGAAAGATTATACAAAATACTTAGAAGTTATAGGTTGTATATCACTTAAAAATGTATGTGCTTTTTTCCCTAGGACATATTAGCATTAAAATAGTTGGTGTTTTAAATTTTTTTGATAATAGAAGTAGTAGTTTGAGATCCATTGAAACATATTTTCTTAAATGTGGTTTGCTGGCATGTTTAGTGGGGGAAATTATTAGGTCAGTTCTAGAGGTGGCTTTTTTAAACTGTAATATTTGGATGTTGGTTAAAAACCTTCTCATTTATGTGTGCTTTTTGTTTGCTGGTGCTTAAAGGGATACAGGTGGAGTATCCTTTATCCAAAATGCTTGGAACCAGATGTGTTTCGGATTTGGGATTTTTTTGGATTTCAGAATATTTGCAGAATACATACCAGTTGAGCATCCCTAATCCGAAAATCTGAATTCCAAAATGCTCCAATGAGCGTTTCCTTTGAGTGTCATGTTGGTACTCAGCAAGTTTTAGATTTTGGATTTTCAGATTGGGGATGCTCAACCTGTAAATTCATTTCCAGTGCCAAAGATGGCTAGTGTTTTGGTTAGAAAAGTCATGAGACCCTGTCTCAAAAAAAAAAAAAAAAAAAGAAAAGAAAACCCAAAAAGAAAGTAACCATAGAAATAATGTCATGCTTTGTATTTGAAAATTATGTCTTCAATTTAATATGTTTTAAAGAGTTTTCTAGTTTGGAAGATTGTCTTCTGAACACTTGTAGTCTTAATTTTTTACGTGGACAAAGTCTTATATACTTGATATTTCCTAAAGTTTTGATATGTCCCTGGTAATAAAGGTATACTAAGATTATAGAACATGTTTGCATATTTGGGCACAAATTAGAACTGTAGC